CCGCCTAGGGTTTATAAAAAGAGCCTACAGACGTCCTAGAGAGGGAGACAGACTTTATACAGACTTTGGAGAGCTTTGGTGAGAGAGATAAGAGTTTTACGGGATTTCGGGAAGACGAAGGAGAGTTGGAACGTGAAGATCGCTTGCTGTCGACATGAGTCTTTCTTCTCCCTCTTTTCTTTCTATTTCTGGTTTTATTCTGTGTTTTTCCATGAACCGTGAGTAGATCCACGGCTGTGGGTTAGGGATTCGTTTGTGTTTTGGGTATGTTTGAACCTTAACTTGGTTGCGATTTGGATTTGTTTCGGTTTTATTGATTTGTGCTTTATTCGATTGGTGTTTGCTGACCCCTTGGCCATTTATTTCAGATTCTGAACTACATAGGAATATGGGTTTAGTTTCGGATCGAAATCGATAGAATAGATTGTATTATTCACATAGGAATATGGTTTGATCGATCTAGGATTGATGATAGTGTTCTTCATGCATCTAGTTTGATAAATCACATAGGGATATGGATTTAGAGAACTTTAGATAGTGAGTTATATGCCGGGAGGTGATTTCTCTATTTTTGTTGCTTGACGATTCCCGAATACAGATTCAATATCGTGATTCTCGCATGCTTAGCATATACCCATACACGCGAATACGGTCCCGACACCCACGGTCATCTTAGATTGCTAGTTTACACATTCTTATTGCTTTGCTTCCTTATTTTCTATTCTTTCCATATACTTCCACCATCACTTTCACTTATACTTGCTTGATTTAGTCTCGATTAGGATTTAGATTTAGCTACCGGTCCTTGCGTTCGACCCCGTGTTACGACGATCCGTATCCTTGCGGTGAGTTGTGAATCGGGTATAAATTCTAGACTCGGTACACACGTATCAATGCTCCTAACTATGTTCATTAATGTACGATTCTGCCTTTCTGTTGCACCATTTTGTTGCGATGTACAGGGCATTGTGTATTGTATACAAATACCCTTACTCTCGAGGAATTTCGCAAATGGACCTGGACATTGTCCAGTCTCATTATATTTTCCATAATACTCTCCACCTCTATCGGATCTCACAACTTTAACCTTTTTATCTAACTGCCTCTCAACTTCATTGATGAACACTTCAAGTATGTTCATAGATTGAGATTTATCATGCAGAAGATAAGTATAACCGTAACGTGAGTAATCGTCGATAAAAGTAATAAAGTATCTTTCTCCACTCCACGTGGAAATATCAAAAGGTCCACAAATATCAGTGTGAATTAATTCTAGAAGCTGCGTACTTCTTGTGACTGCTTGCTTTACAATATGTTTTGTCTGCTTTCTTTTGATACAGTCTATACATACCCCAAAGTCACTAAAATCCAAACAAGGTAAAATTTCATTTTTCACCAATCTTATTAACCTTTCTTTGGATATGTGACATAATCTTTGATGCCACAATAAAGCCGAACTTTCATTGTTAGGTGCACTACGTTTAACGCCCATAATATTTTCAACATTAAACAAGGATTCTGAAAATTCTCTATCAAGATTAAAATGATAAAGACCATCCATTAAAATATCAGAACCGAAAATGTGTTCTTGTTTATATAATTGAAAAGTACCAAAACCAAATTTAACAGAAAAACCCATGGAATCTAATTTTCCAATAGAAACGAGATTTCAAGCACATTCAGGAACATAGAGACATCCTTCTAGAGCTAAGTGAAAGTCGGTGTCTAAGACCAATCTATAAGTCTCAATGTCTTTTATTCGTGCTTTCATCTTATTCCCCATGACCACATACCTTTCAGGTCCTTTTATGGGTTGGATCATACTGAATCCCTGTTTAATATGAGAAACGTGAGCAATAGCACCTGAATCTAACCACCAAGTATTATTGGGTACTTCAATAACATTCGATTCAAAGTAGACTAAAATGTTATGTTTACCTTTGCTTTCGAACCATGCATTTCTTTTCTGACAATCTTTCTTAATGTGAGTTCAGTCTTCTTACAGAAAAAACATTTGACTTATTTCCAAATTTGACTCACACTATCTTTTATTGGAGTCTTATCCTTCTTTTTGTCATTTTTCCATAGTTTGCTTTTATTGCTGCCGACATTAGTTTGAACTGTAAGATGGACAACATGTTCTTTCATCTTCTTTAATCTCTCTTCTTCCTGTATGAACATGACCTTCAATTCCTGAAAGTTCTATTTTTCTTTGATGATGTTATAATTCACTTGGAACTGACCAAACTCAATAGGCAGAGAGCTAATGATGAACTGGACTAGAAATATCTCATTAACATCTATTCCCATGGTTTTCAACTTTGCCATCATATTCGATATGTTAGTCACATGATCATGGATAGGCCGTGACCAGTCAAACTTTTTCGTAGTCAGCTCGCTCATGAGACTTTCTACAATTGACTTGTCAGTCAGATCCGACTGAGAATACTCTTTAATCTTTTGTATAAATTCCTTTGCACTTTCAGTTTTAGGCATTGATGGCTTAACACTTTCTGCCATAGTAATCCTCATCAAGTTCAAGCACAACCTATTTGATCACTCCCAAGAATCGAAGTTAATCCTGTCAATTTTCTGAGCTTTCATCTGTTATGGTTGTTGGCTTTTCATTCAACAATGCATGATCCATATCATTGAAACCCAAATAAAATTGGATATGTTCAGACCAGTCTGCATAGTTAAGCCCGTTGAACTTAACAATTCCATTGCCAGAAGCCATAAGGTTAAGTGTAAGGTGAAATTTTATAAATTTCCATCCATTAGTATTTCAAAATTAACAATAATATGTACCAAAGTTCACCTTTGGATAATACTTCGATACATACATGCAATTATTGATGCAAAATATACTTTAATGGACATCATAATACTACCAGTTAAATAAGCATGCAATCTTTGGACATACATACTTATCAACAAAAAATTATGCCCCTTTAATATTGTTAATCATATGCATTGATGCATCTTTGGATGATCTAATAGTAATATGATAAATAATTATAATTGTTCAATTATTTATTTATTTATTTTATGTTATACATTTGCATCCTTTCATCATGAACAATTAAATATATATATTTGATTTGAATATTTAATTTTAATTTAAATCTGGTCACTTTGGTGACTAACAAGTTTAAAATATAAAACAATAAAAATATTTTTAACTTCCATATAATATGTATCCACATAACTAATTTCATAAAGCATATAAACTATTATCCATATAAATTACTATATGGTATATTAATATATAATATATATACTTATACAGAAAATACAAAAATAATAATAATAATAATAATAATACATATTTATATGTATTATAACAACATAGAAGTTATCAATGTTAATACATTACAATAAATTAATTTATGTATTTCAAGTTGTTATTAATGAGTGCATAACTTTTATAAAATACACGTAATTTTATGTGCATTTTGATATGTTCAAGACATATATTATTATTATTATTATTATATAACAATTATCTATATATTAATATATACTAATTCAGGTATATATATATATATATATTTTAATTTCTTATTACTTTAAACTTTGATGATATATTTTAATGAAAAATATATCTATATATAATGCACATTATCCTTTAATTATGCATATGAATAAACATGTTTTAAGATCAATATAATGAGATATATATAAAAACGCGTTACATAATTTTTTTCAAAATATAGTACAATTTCGAAAAATTTAATCGATGAATTATGATAACACCAAAACACAGGTTCTAATACCAAATGTAAATTTTATTCTGATAGTTTTTGATAACTTTATGAAAACTCACCAAAACTGGATACGGTATTATATATTTTACACAAACTTAATAAGATAGTATATATCATATATGAAATATATCTGAATCCATATTGCAGCAGAATGATTTTGAAAAACAAGTCGGTAAATCAGTTTTTCTCTTCTTTCATCCTTACTTTGATAATTTTGCTGATTGACGAAAAATATGAATCAAACTCCTATATTTATAGAGTAAGGAGAGATGGATTACTATGAATATCAATGGACTTTCAAACTTAATTAACTCATATCCATCAATGAGTTCAAACTAATACGAAGTCTAATCTCAAAATTTCAGGGGCCATTTTAATGTTTATATTTCCAACAAATGTTTGTATGGTAATTGACGCTGCTCACGCTTCCCTTGTAATTCAGAAAACCGTTATTTTATGTTCTATGTAAAAATTCAACACAACTTAACTTTATATTATTTGGGATAGTTTCAAAGGTTAATATCATATTGATATTTTTTTTTAAATCAATATTTTATCTGACTATTTTATTTTGAATATTTTTTAAAGATTAATATTTTTTAAGTTCTAAAAATGTTATAACTTTATTCGGAAATTTTTAAAGATTAAAGATTAATATTTGTTTGGATAAGGTATGTTAGACCAAATGGCTGCTACGATCTGATAACTTTTCAATATTTTAATCAACTAGATTTGTTTTTTTTAAAAGATATTCTATAATGCATTATTAAGTGTGGCCATCAAGATTTAGAATTATATGAATTAAATACATCACTACGTACAATAAAACTATTTGAAATTCGAAATTTAAAAATTGAAAATAATTTATTTAGAAATATGATTATTAAATAAATGCCTAACAAAGTTTTACAAGGAATATAACAATTTCAAACTATATACATCGTCATATCGCTTTTTCCATAGCAAAATACAATATAAAAATAAGAAGCAGTGGTAGTGGGGCCCCATCGAATGAGAGGGATCCAGCGAAACGAATACGACACTTCATTCATTAATATTAACGTTGTCAGAGTTTTGCGCGAAAAAGCGCCTGCATCCGGGGCCCACTTTCTCCATCGTCATTCACCTGCTTCTCGGAAGCTGCAGCACATATTCGAAAAACCAGGAATATTGCCACGTGTCGTAATAGAATTGGAGGGTCCACGTTATACTTCTAATCCACGGACATGATCGAGCGAAGAAGAAGAAGAGAGAGAAAGAGGGAGAGAGAGTGGGTAAAGGGGAAAATGAACAGCGTCTTCTCCATCGATGATTTGACCGATTCTTTCTGGTCGGCGGTTTCTCCGGCGGCGGCGGCAGCGGTGATGGGGGAAGGGATGAGTCGGAGCCAGTCGGAGTGGGCGTTTCAGAGGCTGATCGAAGAGATGTCTGTTTCTGCTGGTAGCCCGATCTCCAGGTCCTCGTCGGAGACGGGGAACGTGATCGGCCGGTCACTGCCTCCGGTGATTCAGCCTGAGCCATCGGTTGCGAGACCGTTGGGAGGTGGTGCTGACGCTGCTGGCGATGTCGTCGAGATACAGAGACCGGAGAATCATAGCCGTCGAGTGGAGGAGCAAGGGAGTCGGAATCATGGATCGTCTTCGACGATTGGGGTTGATCCTGATCACTACCACGCGATTCTCAAGAGCAAGCTTGATCTCGCTTGCGCTGCTGTTGCTCTTCGCGTACCTCTCTGCGACCTCTCTCTTTCTCACATCCCCTCTCTATCTGTTCTACATTTATCATGTTTTTTGGAGACCCGTCTAGGTAGATCTGTTAGTGATGATCGGATTGATTTTCCTCAGGTAGCTAAGGTGAAACCAGAAGATTCGAGTACCTCAGCGACCAATCAAAAGGAGCCTCCAATGGTGGGATCTCAAGCTCAAGGTTTGTTTTACATTTTGTATCAATCTTTGCTAAGATGCTAGTTGCTTGGTTTAGGGCTTTAGGTTTTAAACTTGTAGGGGAATGGCTTATGTTTAGGATATAGTGGATTTATGACACTGGATTTAGCTGTGGAGGGTCTGTGCAGCAGGCGAGCGAGAATTGGAAAATTTCTGTAGCTTTATAAATCTGTGTATATATGTATCTAATCCTATATTTTAGAGCTTCCAGTGACGTTTAAAATTATAATCCATATTAGGGTTTTAGGTTATGATTTTGAGAACACAGATGTATTTCTCTGTATTCCTAGCATCGATGGATTTGTTAGTTCTATCTCATGTTCTGTTGCATTTTGTACCTATTTTCCAGTTTTTGAAATTATTCCTGAATCATGTTTCCTGTGTATTAATGCCCTGTTTTGATGAGTATTGTGTATTTTTATAGGTTCGGCTGCTATGAAAATGTCACCTGGTTCCTCATCTATTAACGTCGCTCCCTCACTGGGCTTGCCAAAGAAATCAGAAGCACCGATCAGGCAAGCTACAAGTGGATCATCACCAGATGATTCAGATGATGATGAATTTGATGGAGACATGGAAATGACAGAGAACGCGGTTCCTGC